TCTTTCCACAATGCCCCGAAGGATGCAGGTGAAACACCACTCCCTGAGTACATGCCATTGACAGCCATGCCACACCGTCAAGGGTCTCTATAGTGCATGAGCAGAAGGCGAGCTGAAAACTGGTTCTTGCATGAAATCCTGTCATGTTTGAAAATCCTGAGGCTGTAAATCCTTCAACACAAGTAGAAGTAGAGTCATAGGAAATTAGTGATATACCCTCTCTTCTCCTGTGTGTGCATGTATGAATTCTAGATGAGATTACTTTTCCACCTGTAAGCTGCTGTATGGCAACTTTAAACCTCTCTTGGCTCTGCATCTGTAATATGAAATCCAGCTGCAAGAAGCACGTTACTGAAACTTGCTACCTTGTTTTCAAATTAGCCCCACAGGGTATATTTAAAATACCAGGAATTGCCAAGAGGTTAAAGGAGCCTGACAGCAGTACAGACATATTTTTCTCTTAACTGTAGTAGAACCGAACATAGTTTAGAAGTCTGTTTGCATGGGTCTGACACAGTAGTCTGTTATGCATGAGAAACTTTCCTGGTGATTCCCTGAACATAGATCTTGATCAACTTTTATGAATCAGAGAACTAAGATATATTTGTTTTTTGCTGTGTAGCTGTGCCTCCTCCCACTGATCTCCGTTTTACTAATGTGGGGCCTGATACTATGAGAGTGACTTGGACCGCACCAACTTCCATTGTGCTGAGCAGTTTCTTGGTGCGCTACTCACCTGTGAAGAAGGAGGAAGATGTTGCAGAGCTGACAATTTCACCCTCAGACAACATGGTGATCTTAACAAGTAAGTGGGTTACCTACATAAGTCAAACAAATATAAAAGGCCCCTCATGACATAAGATGAGGCAAAAGAAAAATTGCTTACTGTGAGTGTAACGGGCCAAATTCTCAGCTGATCTAAGCTGATGTTGAAGTAACCTCATACAAACTCACACTAAATGGGGTTTGGCCACTTGCTTTACCCAAGTTAAAGCCAAACCACAGGAAAGTTTTTCCCATCAATCCAAGGACAGTGATGAATCAGGCTATGGGGCAATTGCATTGATTTGCAGTCTGGTTAGGTATTAAGAGTAAATACATATTACTCACCTGGTTTGCCAAAAATGTCAAGGACTTGCAGTGCAGAGGTTCAGGGAGAGGATCAAAATGTGCAAAAGGTCATTGTTCCTTTGGCTTTGTACACTTGGGACCAGCAAATAAATACTGTTTGGAACCTTACAGGACATGGCAACAAAACATGGGCATTTTCAAAAAGCTGACATTAATTTTTGCAGTGCAAAAGCTGTGTTGTGTCTGAAGTTTTTTTTCTCTGTCCTAGAATCAGGTTGGTTGAGTGAGAGAGAATACCCACTTTCAGAATAAGACACCAGATCTGGAGCTTATCAGAGTTAGGACAGCTGTGTTGGAAATCCTTGGCCCTATTCAGTTTGTGTCAGCTAAAGCTTTGGCCTAGTTCATAACTAAACTACTAGATAACTGGAAGAGACCTTGTAGAAAACTAATTGCTTCTAGCCAGCCTCCACAAACTAATGAAGCAATGATACAGAATGCCATGCTCCTTCAGGCTAAAACATTGCAAGCAATCATAATGCCACAAAATGAACTGATTTACATTTTTTACTGTCCTAGAGGCTCAGATCTTCCATCAAGCAAAACCTGATTACCTCCGTTAAGAAACAGAGTTAAAATTGTGTAGGCTGAGTGACTTCTAGGTATTAGTAAAGAAATATATCTAAATTCCCGTACTTAAACTCCACAGATCTGCTCCCTGGTACTGAATATCTGGTGAGAGTCTACAGTGTTTCTGAGCAACATGAAAGTGCACCTTTGTCTGGAATCCAGAAAACAGGTACTTGAACGCAGCCTGAGACAGATGTGTGTGATTAATGCCATCTATTAAGCATTCATTAATGGGACTTTGTTGCTCTTTCTTGTGTATTGTCACCTCATTGATGGGTCACCAGCTAGTTATCAAAGAGCAATCCAGATGCACATCTTGGGAAACGCTAGGAAATCTCACATCTCATTAAGTCTGAGAGACAGAACTCCTGTTGGTTTTAAACAGAGTATTGTGGACCCCAGGTGTGAATGTACCAACAGTGTCTGCCTGAGAATGAGTCTAGGCAGAGCGTATCATAACTATCACCAAGTCTTTCTTGTTTCATAACTGTGTAATGTTTGCTGGTCATGTGTGTTTGTTTATGCTGTTATCTGTGTGTGCCATACACTCTTTTCCTGTAATCACGTTCCAGTGCTCATTTATCTCTCTTTGATCTTGAATGCATATGTGTTTAGTTCCATGGCTGAATAGCATTTGGCTTAGGATCTGGCAGTGTCATGGTACTGAGCTTAATGAAACATGACCAATAGTTCAGATAAGCTCAGTCTCTTGTCTCTTTGAAATACCCAGGTCTCGACTCCCCCACTGGCCTTGACTTCTCGGATATAACTGCTAACTCTTTCACCGTCCACTGGATGGCTCCTCGTGCCACCATTATGGGCTACAAAATCAGGCATCACCCAGAGCATGGTGCTGGCAGGCCCAAGGAGGACCGCGTGCCCCCCTCACGCAACTCCATCACCCTTACCAACCTGCTTCCAGGGACCGAGTACGTGGTCAGCATCATTGCCATCAATGGCAGGGAGGAGAGCGTGCCCTTGGTTGGCCAACAAACAACGGGTAAGCCTTGAGAGAAAGCTGGCTAAAAGTTACCTCGAGGATTTTGGGTGTCCTTTAGAGAAATAGTTGCTGTTAAACTAGATTTTCCCTGCCTGCTGGTGAAACTGCTCATGAGGAAAGTGCCTGTGATACTGAGGTAGGGCCTGGTTTAGAAAAAGGTAGGAGAACTCATGCTGCTTTTGGATCGAATCAGATGTCTTTAGGGCCAGCAGAACTTTTTTTCATTGAATCTAGTCCAATGCCTGATGGTTTTTAACCAGATACATCACTTGTAGAGGTGTGTGCACTAGGCTAGAACTAAGGCAGATGAGTAGCAGAGGAGCATGGTACGATAGGTGGAATATGTAGCTGATGTACATTAACTGTGTTTAAACTCTCTCCCCATTCTCTGTTTTTCTAGTGTCTGATGTTCCAAGGGACCTGGAAGTCACCCCCACCAGCCCAACCAGCCTTGTGATTTCCTGGGATGCTCCTGCAGTGACAGTCAGATACTACCGGATCACTTATGGTGAAACAGGTGAGGGCAGGCTGCTATGGCCAGTCACAGACCAGAAGCTCTATTCTGAGGCCATTAGAAAGGCACAGAAAATAGGTAAGGCAAGTTTGACTGCAGCAGACAAACTCTTGTATCTCTGAGATTCTTGCAGCATATTTAGAGAAGATTGTCAAATATAGGCGCCTTTTATTTTAAAGGAGAGCAAATCATTTTTTGTCTACCAAAAAGAAAGAGCATCTGGAGCACTCCAGTCATTTTAGAGCTGGTTCTGTGTTCATATTTCATTCTTTTCCTTGGGTTGGTCTGAAAAAGACTTTGACCCAAGATCCACTGAAATCAACAGGGTCTTCTCTTCAACTTGATGCATATAGGATTGTTCTGGGTTTTGTAATGATTTAAAATGTATAATTTAGAGATCCATTACATTTCTTTTTCCACTCCACCCTCCTTAGGTGGAAGCAGCCCTGTGCAGGAGTTTACAGTGCCTGGCACCATGTCCACCGCTACCATCACTGGCCTCAAACCTGGCGTAGACTACACCATCACTGTGTATGCTGTAACCGGGCGTGGAGACAGCCCTGCCAGTAGCAAGCCAGTCACTGTCACCTACAAAACAGGTGAGACCTATTTAAATAAACCAAAGAAACCTACAGCTTTGTGTTAGCTTAACCCCATAAATTTGTGTCACTGATCCCTGGTTTCTTTTAGAAGTCATGGGCTATGTTGTAAGCCTGTCATTTTCAGTGGAGCTGCAAATCGTGGTGGCCCAGCATGATAATGACATGACAGAGAAAGGGATTGTGGAGTTGGACTTTTGGAGGAGGGAGACCCTGTGGAGTCCAGATGGGGATACAAGCAATATTTGACTGCTTATTGCAGAGTGGAAGTCCTGTGGGCTCTCATATCATGGGGTCACTGTTGGCTTAACTCTGGCACTTCTGATGCACGGTCATATTATGTGATCCTGATGAGACCTGACTTTCTAACTCCAGGACTGTCATCTCACTGCTGATCTGAATATAACTTAATCCTACTCCTCCTGTAGCTGCAGATAAAGGCATTTAGTAGCCTTTAAAACAACAAAAATCTGCAACTAATGTTGATATGAGGTCAGTCACGCACACATTATGGTTAAGGCTTTTTTGCTTTGGACTAGCATGAGGGACAAATAAATAGCAACATGTGTTTTCTGTTCTAAGCAGCACAGCCTAGAAAAGGAAGAGCAGAATAAAATTCAGCTAGGAGGCAATAGTGGAGGGATGGTTTTCTGTAGCAACATACTCAGAAAAACTTGGTTTTGTTGTTCAGAAATAGACACACCATCCCAGATGCAAGTTACCGATGTCCAGGACAACAGTATCAGCATCAGATGGCTCCCTTCAACATCGCCAGTCACAGGGTATCGAGTGACAGCTGTCCCCAAGAAAGGACATGGGCCCACAAAAACTAAAAATGTCCCTGCAGGTAAGAGGACATGACATCCTTCACCAGGTATGTAAAGAATGCAAGATGTGACCACTAGAATCAACACTATTGGGCACTAGGCATATGCTCAAAGCCAAACTTTCTCCTGCTTGTACCATTTTTTGCCATCCTGCTGACTTCAGTTGGGTCTCATCTAGGAGAAGCTAGGGCAAATTTTTGCCCTGAAAGGTTCACATTTCTTTGATACCACTGTGCTGCAAAGGTTTGTTCTTGGCAACCTCAGTGTCTCTGAAAGGCACCTGGATTTCAAAGAAATTCAAATTTCAAAGAATTCTCAATTGTGAGGGAAGTAAGGA